ATCCATAAATCCAAAAAATCCAAAAATTGAAACTCAACTGCCTTGAAAGAACGAAGACAAAGACAAAGGCAAATACAATGGACCCACTAAGGGCAGAGGAGAACTCACAGACACAAGTGAAACACATCAGGTGGAGCAAACAATCAAGACAGGAAGTAAAACTCAAAACTACAAGCAGACAGGAAAATTTCAAAATAAAAGGGCACACTGCACTAAAGGAAAAAGATACACCAAAATAATCAAAAACAACCACTACAGCGCATGAACCATGATAAACAGGGGTGTATCAGAGCAATGATGTCTTGAATAGAGGAGAATAAAGATGACTCAAACATGCACAAATCACTGTAAATACAACTGGAGAGGGAACATGAGAAGGAAAGGAAAATCCAGTAGACTGATAACTAGACTGATAGATACTTTGTTATCCCGAAGGTAATTCATATTTCAGGCAGCAAGCAATGCTTAATACAACACATAATAATACATAATATCAATTTAATCACTTTATCAAATTATAGAGAAGCGCTGAAGCGGTGTGGGGTGTGGTACAAACGACTTCCAGAGTGTCCGTCGAGCTAGAGGGACAACAGACTGTCCCCAAAGGTTAAAAGCTCTGAAAAGTGAATTGTGGCCCGAAGAAGCCTTATGATTCTCAGACTATGTTTACACTGAAACAAATCCGCGTATCACCATATCGGAAACGATTTGCATCCAGACACGTCGTTTCTGTGTCCGTAAGCCTTCCCTATCCACACAGATTTGAGCATATTTGTTTACGTTTTACAGAAATGAAACTTAAAACCTCATGGCTAATTTCATAAACTGAGCGCTCAAAAAACAGCTCAATATTGTGCGCTGATGCGGTTCAGCTTCTGTTGAAGGACACAACAATATGAGTGTTCATTCTGTGACAGAGGGGTGTTCTGCTGATGGTGAGTCTGTTCTGTGCTTCTGTCGCGTTATCTCTGAAAAGTTTAACATGGAATCTGGTTCATGTTAAACTTTTCAGAGATTATACATCTGCAGGTTGTACACACAGACTGTATATATGAACGGACATATATTCTAGCCTCTTAGTGTTTTGGCGCTGAATTACTTCGCGGTGCATAGAACTACATCAGCGCATCAGCGTTTTCAGGTGTCCACACAGTGCTGGATCAGATCTGTTCTCAGATGAATTCGTGGGGGCTGGCGGAGTCAGATCATTCCGTCACTGGAGCCGTTTTCATTCGGATTAGTGTGGACGAACACTGCATCCACAACAAAAACAACTCGAATATGTACTAGTATGGACGGGGCCTCAGACTACACTTCCCCATGGTGTCATGTGACCTGTGGTGTCCGTGACTCCAAAAGTTGTTTATATTAAAAATATATCAGTCATTTTTAAAGATCTTTGGTATCATGAAACTTGGCGCTGCACACACCCAGACCATTAAGATGACACCCTGCAAATGTGAGATGAGTCGGATGAGTAGTTCGAGAGTTATGGAAGAAACAAACAAACAGGAGGGGACACAGACAGATGTTCCCTGCATTAACAGATATATTCTCTCCAGACATTTGACACATCCATAAGTGTTATCATGTATATGTTAACAAATCAAAAAATATATGATACATCCTTGAGCGTAAACTGACCCTACGTTGTGTGAACCATTTATATTTATTTATTTATTTATTACCACTGCACTGTCCCACCAAACAAAGTAATAAATAGAAAAACATGAAGACCTGTCATAAGCGCTGTAAACCAGTGACCATCTTGTAGCGTGGCGTGTCTCTTTGCCACTGAGCCGCTGTGCCTCCAGTGGAAACGTGTGCTTGTGTTTTGTGTGTGTGTTTGTGTGGTGCGTTTACTGAACATGAGTGATACAGGCGCAGCAGCAGGTCTCAGCGTGGGGGGTTTGTTTGTTTATGTGTTTGGCTGTGGGCGATGCACGAGGAGAAAGCGAGCGCTCCCCTCCTCTTTAACACGCACGCGCACACATAGACACTATAGACACACACACACTCACACACACACACAACATTAGCACCAGGGACTCTGAACTCATGTTTGAACAGTGTTTGTCAAAGCACCATTTGGACATTGGGAGCTTTACACATGAGCTACTCTTCATTCAGACTTTACTATGTTTTTGTTGCTCTTGAAATGCTTTTTCCACATTTCATTGTCAACTGTCCAAATTTTAACAACTTACAAGAATATTTCTGTTCAGTTTTAAAAGACCAGCAGAAAGGGCACCTGGCGTAAAAAATAATTCAAATGACAGCGTGTCCAAACAGAGATCAGAATGAAATCTGGATCTATTGAACTAGAATGTAAACTAATGCTTTAGATTTGAATGGTTTTACAGGGTTAGGCCCCGCCCACATTAGTACATATTCTAGTTGTTTTCGTTGTGGATGCAGTGTCCGTCCACACTAATCTGACAGAAAGCGGCTCCAGAGACAGAACGACCTGACGCCGCCAGCTCCCACGAATTCATCTGAGTATGGATCTGATCCGGCACTGTGTGGACGCCTGAAAATGCTGATACGTTAATAAGCTGATGTAGTTCTATGCGCCGCAAAGTAATTCACCGCCAAAACACAAAGAGACTAAAATATATGTCCATTCATATATACGGTCTATGCGTACGACCTGCAGATGTATAATCTCTGAAAAGTTTAACATGAACCATCTCCAACACAATATACACACAGAAAAGACTCACCATCAGCAGAACACCCCTCTGTCACAGAAAGAACACTCATATTCCACTGAGTCATGTCCTTTAGTCCAACAGAAGCTGAACTGCATCAGCGCACAATAACAAGCAGTTTTTTGAGTGCTTACTTTTTGCAAATTAGCCATGTGGTTTTAAGTTTCATTTTTGTAAAACATAAACAAATATGCTCAAAGCTGCGTGGATAGGGACGACTTGTCTGGATGCAGATCTTTTCCGACACGGTGATTCGTTTCAGTGTAAACGTAACCTCAGATCATTTTGATGTCACCATACTGTACAGTCTTTATTAATACACTCCACACTTGTGATTTTAAATGGAAAGAAACAGAAAACGCACACCAAAATTCTTGTAGAGGTGCAAATGCAAGGAGCAGCCAGACATGGGTGAAAAAATGTTTAGCACACTCAGATGGCCGATGTCCAAAAGCTTTTTTTATTAACAAAATAACGTTTCGGCAAAAAAAGCCTTCATCAAATATTTTTTCTTGTTTTGGACCACAGCTGTGCCAAGTTGGTTCTATAGCCACAGCTGCCCTGGGACAGTACTTAGACTGTATATACTTTAGCCCACTTGTCAAATAGGAAGTGAGCTTGGTCGCAAAGTTGTTCCTTCGAGCTCTGGTTCCAAATGACTTCTATTGAAAAAGATAGAAAAGTTCAAAGTTCCTGCATAACTTAAAGGTCTTACATTACGCTAATTTGAGTCTTGTGAGCTTGAAGTCATGTTGTAATGCTGTTACATAATTAAAACAGAGCTGGAGTTGTGTTTTGTTTCAGTCACATGTTGGACTAACCCACAATCTACACCAGGAGCGTCAGCAGCACATAACGTTGGCAGAGCTGCGTACACGTGTACTTTTAAAAGCTTCAATTTACAACAACAGAGCTGCTCCTGTGACCTCCAGCCTTTAATGTGTTGTAGTTGTGTTTCTCAAACTGTGGTCCACACGCTCCCCTTCACATCTCGAACGCACTGACTTTAGATCATGTCTGCGGCTCTCCTCTTCCTCGTGTGAGTCCCCGTGCAGCTGAATGAGGAGCTGAGTGGGAGAGGCTGAGCTTGTAAAACAGATGAAGAGGTTTTCCTCACAAACCGCTCATCAAACCAACGTGCTCCAGCTAAAGCCACACAGCTCCTACACCAGCACCATTTATGTGGACCTCCCTCTCCTCCTCTCACACCCCTCCTCTTTTCTCACATCTCCTCCTCTCTCCTCTCCTCCCCTCTCTCACTTCTCTTCTCACTCCTCTTTCTTTCTTACCTCTCCTCTCCTCCTCTTCTCTTCTCTCCTCCTCTCACCTCTCCTTTTTGCACACCTCTCCTCCTCTCTCACTTCTCCATCCTCGCCTCTCCTCCTCTCTCACTTCTCTTCTCACTCCTCTTTCTTTCTCGCCTCTCCTCCTCTTCTCTCCCCTTTTTGCACACCTCTCCTCCTCTCTCACTGCTCCTCCTCTCACCTCTCCTCTACTCACCCCTCTCCTCTTCCCCTCCTCCTCTCACCTCTCCTCTACTCACCCCTCTCCTCTTCCCCTCCTCCTCTCACCTCTCCTCTTCTCCTCTGACCTCTCCTCCTCTCTCACTTCTCCGTCCTCGGCTCTCGTCCTCTCACCTCTCCTCCTGTCTCACTTCTCTTCTCACTCCTCTTTCTTTCTCACCTCTCCTCCTCTTCTCTCCCCTTTCTGCACACCTCTCCTACTCTCTCACCGCTCCTCTTCTCACCTCTCCTCTCATTCCTCTTTCTCTCTTGCCTCTCCCCTCTCACACCTCTCCTTTCTTACCTCTCCTCCTCTCACCTCACTTCTCCTCTCTCATGTCTCCTCCTCTCTCACCTCTCTTCCTCTCTTACCTCTCACTCCTCTCTCTTTCTCTTTCACCTCTCCACACCTCAGCTCTCTCTCCCTTTCCTTCCCTCTCCCCTCTTATGCTTCTCCTCTCTCACTTCTCTTCTCTCTCCTCTTTCTCTCTTCCCTTTTCTCTCACTCTTCTATCCACCTCTCTCCGGTCCTCACCTTCTTCTCTCTCTGACCCTCTCTCTTTCTCTGGGGCCAACAGAGGTCGTGCAGTGCTCCTTAATCTTTGTACCTCCTTTATTTGACAGTGTCAATATTTTGCCTGTAATGATTGTCTAGTATTTTTCATGTGGTTCTTTTTTTCATGTGGTCTCTCTCCTCAAAATGTAATATTTACACACTCAGCTCCTCATGTCATAGGTCACACTTGTATATTGTGTTCTTACTGATCCAATGTCGTCTCATCCTCAGGAGGTGTTACCGGACAGGAAGCGTGTGACCACTCGGAGTTACCTGCCCATCACACCAGCAGACACAGACAGTGGCAGGACTTTCGCCTGTATCGCCTCAAACCCGGCCGTGCCCATGGGCAAGAGGACCTCCGTCATGCTCAACGTGCACCGTAAGTATAGACTGTTCACTTTAGTGTTAGTGTGGTTCACAGTAGGGATGGGCATTCGATGAAATTTTCTTAATCGATCGTCGGAAGAATTAACAATCGTTTATCGATTAATCATTAACGTGTTTATATTAAAATGACCATCATTATTATTACTATCTGCACTACTAAACTGCATAAATAAATTCAACTTTACGACATATAAACCGTGACCACTCTAGAGCCACATCAATCCGTTTGACATTATAATGTGTTTAATTCAGTTTTGCGCAACTCTCACAGAAACAAAACTTAAAACCACATCACTAATTTGCATAAACTCAGTGAAGATAAAATTGCAGCTCTTGTGTTGCTGATGCCATTCAGCTTCTGTCGGATTAAAAGACATGACTCAGTGGAATACAGGTTACTGTGACCAGATTTGTGTTTGTCAAAACCAGGACACTGTACGGGGGGAGGGAGGTGGGGACTCGTCATCGACATTGCGCGACTCTCACCTGGTAAAACTTTTTCCAACTGGACACCGAAACATATGTCCTGCTTTATACACTGTGCACGTGGACTCACACTTGTCCCGAACGCAACGGAAAGCGTGGAATTTCTTGTACAAGTCATCGTTAAATACGCATTTGCGTTGCAGACTGACCGACTGTTTGTGTCTCGCTCCTTCTGAGTGCAGAGACACATGTACGGACCCCCGTTTGGTCACGCTACACACAGCAACCTACATTCGGTTTGTCGATTAAAATGAACGTAATTGATGAAATTCTTAATGATCAATTATCGATTAATCGATTAATCATGCCCATCCCTAGTTCACAGTACGGTTTAAATTCCCCACGATAGAGGACTAAAACACCAGGCTTTAGAACTCCACAGGTATTAATATAATGAAATACTATATTTGTATTTCCTGTGTTTCAGACCCGCCCACTGTGACCCTGTCCATCGAACCACGCTCCGTCCTGGAGGGAGAGAGAGTCACCTTCACCTGTCAGGCCACTGCCAACCCGCCCATCATGGGATACAGGTAACAACCCACGCATAACAACCAACCGCATAGCAACCATCTCCATAGCAACCCGCCCATCATGGGATACAGGTAACAACCCACGCATAACAACCAACTGCATAGCAACCATCTCCATAGCAACCCGCCCATCATGGGATACAGGTAACAACCCACCGTAACAACCAACTGCATAGCAACCATCTCCATAGCAACCCGCCCATCATGGGATACAGGTAACAACCCACGCATAACAACCAACCGCATAGCAACCATCTCCATAGCAACCCGCCCATCATGGGATACAGGTAACAACCCACTCGTAACAACCAACTGCATAGCAACCATCTCCATAGCAACCCGCCCATCATGGGATACAGGTAACAAACCACCCATAACAACCATTACCCATAGATACCATCCCCATAGCAACCTGCTCATCAGGGGATACAGGTAACAACCTATCCATAACAACCATCCCCATAGCAACCCGCCCATAACAACCAACCCCATAGCAACCATCTCCATAGCAACCTGCCCATAACAACCACTCCATAACAACCATATCCATAACAACCATCCCATATCAACAACCCATAACAACCATTCCCCATAACAACCATTCCCATAGCAACCATATCCATAACAACCATCCCCATATCAACAGACCCATAACAACCAACCCCATTGCAACCATCCACATAGCAACCATTCCCATAGCAACCTGCCCATCAGGGGATACAGGTAACAGCCCCCCCATAACAACCATCCCCATAACAACCATAGCAACCATCCCCATAGCAACCTGCCCTTCACGGGATACAGGTAACAACCCACCCATAACCATTCCCATAACAACCAACAACAACCATTCCCATAACAACCAACCCAACTGCCGTGTTTAAGATGACTTCATTAAATTCTATGGGCTAATAATATTTAATACAGACAGGGGGATGGAAAAATGAATATTGTAGAAATTACAATTTTGGTCATAATACAAAAGTGTCTAATTGTCAGTAATAATGATCAGGTTCAACATCTGTGACTTTACCTTTTACAAATTTTATGACAAAGTATAATGTGATCAACTGGAAAATCTGTCTCTTGCCCCCATCTATTAGTATAACATGATCACATTCTAGAATCTAAAAACCACCAATAATAAGCACCCCCATAGTAACTCGCTCATTATGGGGTACAGAAAACAACAGATCCAACAACCCGCCCATCGTACAGGAATACAGGAAACAGAGTGAAATATATTCTTTATATAAAAACCTTATTCCACTAAACCCACTTTTAAGAGGGATGAATTGTGTAAAATGTCCAGTGTTCATGTTCAAGTGAACACTGACCTGTTTCTCTGGGAGGGTTTAAAATGGCTTTGCATTGTGTGTAGAACTTATTTGCTGTTGAGATCTGCAGTTCCATGCAAAATAATACAACCAGAGAGAGGCCCACAGATAATCGCCCATGGCAACTAAAAGACCTATTAATGTTATAGTCTAGAAGAAGTTATATAAAGCACATAAAATACTTATGCAAAGTTCACAAAATGATTCTATAAATTAAATCAATTAACACAGCGTGGCCCTCCTCCTCTGTTCTGTTTCTAAGCCGTCTCAGTGTAGTGCCTCTGCTCCTCTTTGCTTCTGAGCATCGCCCATTAAACTCGGATACTTCTGCTCGCGTCTGTTGCAGTCTGCTCGTAACACTCTCCGGAGAAAGGCCTGATGGGTAATTTGTGCTTACAGACCAGAATCGGTGACAGTATTGAACCGAGACACAATTAACAGCTGATTTGTGCGCGATGATGCAGCATTAGCTAGCCCCGCGCACACACCGCGCTCTCTAAGTAGCTAACAGCGCGCGCTTTAGGAGGAGGTGTATTCTCAGATGGGACGGGTGCCAGGTGCTTAGGCCCTGTGCCCATCGCGCCAGTATTAAAATGCCGTTTAACAGTTCGGAGCTGGATGTTATGGGCTTTTCTGATACATTTGGCAGAGGGAGTGGTTAACCCCTCATCAAATACTCCTGTTAGCACTCAAAGCACTGATAGCATAGTCAGACTTTAACAAGACCTGGTTTAGACCTGGTTTAGACCTGGTTTACACCTGGTTTAGACCTGGTTTGACCTGGTTTAGACTTGGTTAGATTGGTTTAGACTTTGGTTTAGACCTGGTTAGATCTGTTGTAGACCTGGTTAGACTGGTTTAGACTTGGTTAGACCTGGTTTAGACCTGGTTTAGATTTGGTTTACACCTGGTTTAGACCTGGTTAGACCTGGTTTAGACTTGGTTAGATTAGACCTGGTTTAGACTTGGTTAGATTTGGTTTAGACCTGGTTTAGACCTGGTTAGATGTAGTTTAGACCTGGTTAGATCTGTTGTAGACCTGGTTAGACCTGGTTTAGACTTGGTTAGATCTGGTTTAGACCTGGTTAAATCTGTTGTAGACCTCGTTAGACCTGGTTTAGACCTGGTTAGACCTGGTTTAGACTTGGTTAGATCTGGTTTAGATCTGGTTTAGACCTGGTTTAGACCTGGTTAGACCTGGTTTAGACTTGGTTAGATCTGGTTTAGACCTGGTTAGACCTGGTTTAGACCTGGTTTAGACTGGTTAGATCTGACCTGTTTAGACCTGGTTAGACCTGGTTTAGACTGGTTAGATCTGGTTTAGATTGGTTTAGACTGGTTTAGACCTGTTAGATCTGGTTTAGACCTTGTTAGACCTGGTTAGATCTGGTTTTAGACCTGTTAGATCTGGTTTAGACCTAGTTCAGACTGGGTTAGATCTGATTTAGACCTGGTTTAGACCTGGCTTAGACCTGGTTTAGACCTGGTTAGATCTGGTTTAGACCTGGTTAGATCTGGTTTAGACCTGGTTTAGACTTGGTTTAGACTTGGTTTAGACTTGGTTTAGACCTGGTTTAGACCTGGTTAAGCCTGGTTTAGACCTGGTTTAGACCTTGTTTATACCATGGTTTAGACATGGTTCACCCCTGGTTTAAACCTGGTTTAGATGTGGTTGAGACTTGGTTTAGATCTGCTTGTTTAGACCTGCTGGTTTAGACCTGGTTTAGACCTGGTCCACCCCTGGTTTAGACTTTTTTAGACCTTCCCCTAACCTTTGTCTATACCAAGATAGGGTCCAGCATATAGGGACCTCACTAACACTGAGTTTACTCCAGATTTAGCTCTGGTTTAGACCTGGTTCAGCTTTGGTTTAGACCTGGTTTTGCCCCAGTTTAGATCCTCCCCTAACCTTTACCTATACCAAGATAGGGTCCAGCATAAGAACTCCACAAAGACCAGGTTTAATCCTGGTTTAGACCTTGTTTAGACCTGGTTTAGTTCTGGTTTTGACCTGGTCTATTCCTAATTTAATCCTGGTTTAGTTTTGGTTTAAACCCTCTCCTGACCCTCATCTTCAAATACAGATAAAATATGTGTACCATAACCTTAATCTTGGCCAAAAGGGGCTCCAGCAATATCAAGTTCAATGCTGGTTTAATCCTTGTTCATCCATAGGTTAGTCCTGGTTTAGTCCTGGTTTGGTCCTGGTTTGGTCCTGGTTTAGTCCTGGTTTAGTCCTTTTGAGCAGTAATTGTATTCTCAGATGGGACGGGTGCCAGGTGCTTAGGCCCTGTGCCCGTCTCACGAGTATTAAAATGCCGTTTAACATTTCGGAGCTGGATGTTATGGGCTTTTCTGATACATTTGGCAGAGGGAGCGGAGGGGGTGGTGGTGGGGGGGGAGTGAGGGAGTGAGGGAGTGAGGGAGTAAGGGAGGGGGCAGCGGGCGGTGGCAGAGTGGTTAACCCCTCATCAAATACTCCTGTTAGCACTCCGAGTCAGTGCGCTGAGAGACGGACGGTTTGTAATGATCATAAAAGCAGGGGTTTAATGTAACCTTTGGACGGATACCAAAAAACATAAAGAACATGAGGATTCACAGTGCCGACACGACGCTCAGATAAAACAAGGGCTTTATCATGATTTACAAGACAAGATTGAATTATCTCTACTCAAAAACAAACAACAACAACAAAAAAATTACTTAAGGCATTCATAGACAAGGAGTTCACTATCTCTGTCCGTCAGAGCTACTTTAAATAAAAAAGTCCATCACATACAAATGAATGGTGAAGCCAGTTCCCATATTAAAGATAAGCTATGTATGCTATGCTAAAGAGGAAGTGAGCATGGGGTTGCTTCTGGCTCCATCGACTCTGATACCAATTGACTTTACGTTGAAAAACTGTCGTCCATCTTTCTGTAACTGCTGTCGTGAGCCTCAACATTTTGGTCTTGAAGTGTTCCTATTAACCCACTCTACATGATCCTGGGGTTTTTATTTGGCTATTTTGTTCATAAATCAAGAAATGAACACGAGTGGCAGGTAAATCAGATGGCTTCTTTCCCCGAGGTCGCTCCTGCTAGAGTTCGCAACAGGTATGATCGACCTTCAACAGCCTTGCTCCGGGTTGGCTCTTTGGTTGCTACGATGCTCGAGATCGAAATCCCAAATATGGAACTGGCTCCAAATTCGCTCCTATAACTGCGGCCTCAATAAGCTTCATTTGACTGGAGCTAAACACAATTGGTGACATCACACTCACTTAGTCCACTTCTTTACAGTCTGTACTTATAGTATTTATTTATAGGGCACCTTTCACAGATAAAAAAAAAATTGCAAAGTGCTTCACAGAGTGCAATAAGCATGTAAAAAACAGAGGAATTACAGACGCAGTCAACCAAAAGCTTGTCTGAATAGCAGTGTCTTAAGCTGCTTTTTAAAAGAGTCAATAGAGTCTGCCTTACTGAGGGTTAGGGGTAGGGTGTTCCATTAAATGGGGACCACAGCCTGAAAAGATGGTCCCTGTTTTAAAGCAGATCTTTTGAGACCATCAAGAGGCCCTGACCTGAGGACTGGAGGGTGTGGCCTGAGGTAGGGTGCAGTAAGTTACTGATGTACTGGGGTACCTGTCCATTTAGAGCTCTGTAAGTTAAAATCAAGATTTTAAAATCAACACAAAAGTTACCAGGAAGCCAGTGCAGTGAAGATAAAATTAGTGTGATGTGTGTTCACCTGTTAGCTCCTGTTACAAACCTTTCAGCCACATTTTGAACAAGTCTGGATGCGTTAAAACAAGTAAAAATAGAGGTACAAAAATCTAAACCAGATGAAATAAAAGAGTGAACAATCATCTCAAGATCATTATTTGATAAAATGCTCTCAGTTTAGTGATGTTCCATAGATGTTAAAAACTGTTTTTAACCAACTGGCTGCAGTGACCTATCCAGGCTGGCGCCACCTAGTGCCTCCACTGAATTTCATTTCTCTCCAGCAAATAGGTCAGGAATCAAAATACACTAGACGTTTTGCAAAAACCCCAGAAGCGCAAGTTCGGGCACCAGCCAATCAGTGAAGAGCCATACATTCTGTGTTGTCAACGATTCCCGAGGTCGAGGATTTAAAGCCGGAATAAAGAGAATGTTTGGTGAATTTCATCAAGGAGAAAAACATTATTGCCCTTCTTCTGATGGGATTTGGGAAAAGCTTAATATACCAGTAAGCACTATTAGCGGCGCATTACATACATGAATACCAAATAACAGAGATTGGTTAAATGATAAAAAGTACCCGCCCGCCTACTGTCGAGCGTCTAGCAGTGACCCTCCAAAGACCAACAGCACTCCAAGAAAAAGTTAGCTCAAATGCCACTTTGACCCTAATTATGATCTAAAATAAAACACCAAAAGGTTTACACTCAACACTGACTTAATGAGGCTTTGACCTAAACTAAACACGATGGATGGGCTGTTCATTATTTTTGCAGCATGGGCTATACTTTAAAACTATCTGTACGCTCTAGTGATGTATCTCCCTGTGATTCCCAGGTGGGCCAAAGGGGGCATTCTTCTGGAAGGGGCCCGTGAGAGTGTGTTTATGACCACAGCAGATCACTCCTTCTTCACTGAGCCTGTGTCCTGTCAGGTCTTCAACGCCGTGGGCAGCACCAACGTCAGCATCCTCGTCGACGTCCACTGTAAGTCCACATTTATACTGTCTACATGAAGGGATTTATGAATACAAAACTGAGCAGATACTTTTAAAAGGGCCTACGTTTGAGGTTTGAGAGTTTTAAGTCATGTTAGACCTGGTTTAGACCTGCTTTAGACCTGGGTTTAGACATGGTTTTAGTTCTGCTTTAGTCCTGGTTTAGTCCTAGTTTAGGTTTAGACCTGGTTTAGACCTGGTTTAGACCTGGTTTAGACCTGGTTTGACCTGGTTTAGACCTGGTTTTAGAGCTGGTTTAGTGTCCGGCAATGAGTGGAATTACCGAAAAAACAATAAAACAAAAAAAAAAAAAAAAAGGGACTAGGCCAAAATGTGAAAACAGGATAATACCACAGTGTAATCCATTTATTTCAACAAAGTAACTGTAATCCAATTACCACTCACTGAAACAGTAAGTGTAACTGAATACATTTACTTATAATTTGTACTCTGATTACGTAACTCCGGTACATGTAATCTGTTACTCCCCAACACAGATTATGAAGTGTATTATCCTTCAGTAAGCAGGAAGTGGACTGCTTGCATACTAGTTCTTTGAAAGTTGTGAAAAGCACTTTGATGTGAATCATTTGAGATGATCTGAATGCATAAAGTAAGTGAGAAAAAACACTGCAATCTGTTTACAATGATCTCATTTTGTTTTCACATTTTTAAGACAGTAAAAATCAGCATCAGGGCCTTCAAACGTATCTTATAATGCAGTAATCAGGGATATGGTATTTCTATTAGTAGTTTTTCATTTCAAGTTTTTGTGAGAAACTTCAGCAAAGTTCCTGTGATTAATGAGAGCCTGTCAGAGGGACGGCCGGCTGATTACTTCTTGTTAAATGCTGCAACTGGATTTTTGGTTCAAATTGATCTTTAAAAGCTTCAACATTGAGAAAAGTTAACAGAATACAAATGGTGGGATTGATTCTTGACCCAAAGCTGCTGGAATTTCAGTTTTAGACAATTATTTTTGGATCTATAAAAAATATTGGTTTGCTAGATTAGAATTTTCCATAATGGTTTAGACCAAAAATTGCCTTCCACTGGGTTAACGGCTTAGTTTGTTTATTTTGTATTCAGTAATTCATTTAAATGGGCTGTACCCGATTTTTATCATCTAGTTCATTTAAGCAGTTTGCAGTGAAGTTCTTCCTCACTTACTGTATACATTCAGATGAGTTCATAAGAGCTTTTCACAACTTTCACAGGCCAGAGCGGAGTTTTACTGTCACATTAATGCACAACAACTAGCATCCTAACAGCGCACCAGCATACTTCCAAGTTTTGAGGACAATAAAACGCTTTATAATTAGACTCAGACGAACAAAGTGGGTTCATTGTGATGTCTAAAGCTGCTTTTACAATATATTTATACTGGGACAAGACAAAATGTTCTTCATTACATGAAAAATGGTGTACAGCCCCTTTAATCCCCCTGTGTGTTTGTGTGTGCTGCAGTTGGTCCGATCCTGGTGGTGGAGCCTCGTCCCGTCACTGTGGACGTGGATTCAGACGTGACTCTGAACTGTAAATGGTCTGGAAACCCTCCCCTCACCCTCACCTGGACCAAGAAGGGATCCAGCATGGTAAGACCACAGAAAGACCAACGTTTAGTCCTGGTTTAGTCCCGGTTTGATCCTGGTTAAAGCCCAGTATGAACATTTGTCCTTCACCTCCTATAAAGACACCCAGTCACCCACTGTCTCCACAATCCAACACACGAGTGTGATCAACACACAGCTACATCTCCAGTGAGTCCTTCACGTGATGTTGTATTTGAGGAAACCTCTGTTAGGGACATTTCTATATTTTATTGGAGTTCTTTATTCCCCTTTGTTCAAATCCAAGATCAAACATGGACTTTAGAAGTTCGACTGCACCATATTCATATTTGAAGTGGTCCAATGGCCCAAATGTGAGTAAACATCAATATTCTTCATAGTTGCTGTGCTGATGCCAGGTCTGCTTCATGTATATAGAGATATCACAAAAACAAGAACAAAATCTGAAAAGATGGTTTACTTTTCTGACATAACATCAACAGTGTCTTTATGGTTCACTTTGAATAGGTTCTAATTAAAATACACAGAATCTGTCAGGAAATTGTGTTTCCTCCTCCGAGCCATATGCTTCTTGGAGAGAAACTCGTGGCCAGTCAGATCAGAGTGCTCCTTTGACAGACGTCTGTCACTGATCACACATCAGTGTCTTCTCCTGAGACAGACCTCTCCACATCAAACACATGCTCTCCACAGCGCCCCCTTCTGGTGGATTCATATGTTTGATGGACACTTGGCTTTTTAAGTGGCTGCTATTCTGCGTCTATGGCCTCTAACTCTCACTGCAATCACAGTCAGAGAAACCAAGCGCGGCCAGTCTCTCCCAGACCGCTCCTGTAAATGTTAGCTTAGTTTAATGTTAGCTTAGTTTAATGTTAGCTTAGCGTAGTGCCGCTGGTTCCAGACTGCAGATGTTAAATGTTTAATGTAGGTCCAACACGTGGAGAGCAGCTTCAGGAGTAAATCTGCATGTTTTATGAATGAAACATGGGCCTCTTCTCCTCTTTAAACACTCAGATGTGAGTGTGATCCTCACCTCAGACTGAGCTCTGTGCACCTGCGTCACTCACACACATGTACCATTATAGATATGAAAGATGAACGCTTTGCCCAACTCAAAAGACACATGATGAAAGACGTCGTTTAACGGGGACATGTTCTTTCATATTGACTTTAATGAGATTTGTTATTACAGTGTTTCCTCACTGTATTCTGTATTCCATGTTCCCTACATGTTGAAGTGTTTTCCAAGTTAAAGGCGCTATATAAATGCAATCAATCAATCAGATCTCTGGAGAGGCGAGCAGTGTGTTTCTACACAGTTAAATTAATGTTCTTTTTTTTGGGGGGGGTTTTTCAGGTTTTGAGCAACAACAACCAGCTGTACCTGAAGTCTGTGAGCCAGTCTGACGCCGGGCAGTACGTCTGTAAAGCCATCGTACCGAGGATCGGAGTGGGAGAGACAGAGGTCACACTCACTGTTAATGGTAAGAAACTGGACAGGTTTAGTCCTGGTTTAGTCCTGGTTTAGACCTTGTTTAGTCCTGGTTTAGTCCTGGTTTAGACCTTGTTTAGTCCTGGTTTAATCCTGGTTTAGTCCTGGTTTAGTCTTGGTTTAGTCTTGGTTAAATCCTGGTTTAGACCTTGTTTAGACCTGGTTTAATCCTGGTTTAATCTTGTTTTTGTCCTAGTTTAGACCTGGTTTATTCCTGGTTTAGACCTGGTTTAGTCCTGGTTTAGACCTGGTTTAGACCTGGTTTAGACTTGGTTCCTGGTTTAGACCTGGTTTAGTCCTGGTTTAGTCCTGGTTTAGACTTGTTTAGACCTGGTTTATTCCTGTTTACTGTTTTTTCCTGGTTTAGACCTGGTTTAGTCCTGGTTTAGACCCGGTTTAGACCTGGTTTAGACTTGGTTCAGTTCTGGTTTAGACCTGGTTCAGTCCTGGTTTAGTCTTGGTCCTGTTTTTGTCCTAGTTTAGACCTGGTTTAGTCCTGGTTTAGTCTTGTTTTAGTCCTGGTTTAGACCCGGGTTAGACCTGGTTTAGACTTGGTTCAGTTCTGGTTTAGACCTGGTTCAGTCCCGGTTTAGTCTTGGTCCTGTTTTTATCCTAGTTTAGACCTGGTTTAGTCCCGGTTTAGACCCGGTTTAGACCTGGTTTATACCTGGTTCAGTCCCGGTTTAATCTTGGTCCTGTTTTTGTCTTGGTTTAGACCTGGTTTAGTCCTAGTTTGGTCTTGGTTTAGTCCTCGTTTAGACCTGTTCAACCCTGATTTAGTCCTGGTTCACTCCCGTTTTTGTCCTGGTTTAGTCCTGGTTTGGTCTTGGTGTAGTCCACATTTAGACCTGTTCAGTCCAGTCTTGGTTCACTCCCGTTTTTGTCCTGGTTTAGTCCTGATTAGTCCTGGTTAAATCCTGGTTAATTCATAGTTTATTTCTGGTTTAGTCTTGGTCCTAAATTCATACATGTTTTCTACTTCCATTATTCAGTTTTTATTTTTAATGTATTGACTTTTGTGTCACTAACAATTCATAATTTATTGATTGTACTTTTATTTGTGTTAAACAATGATTAAAACAGGAGTAAACAAAGACTAAACCAGGACTAAACCAGGACTACATCAGGACCTAAAACCACACGAACAAACCTATCAATATTTCCACTCTACTGCATAACAATGTAGTACGAGAAAAGTAGTCCCAGACAACACCTGACATTTCCATCCCGGCGTCTTGTGTTGATCCTCAGTCTATTGCATGTTCTTTAGTCCGTGATAAATGTGGCCGTGCGCACAGAGGAGGGACCTGCCCTGATTAAGTTTGTCCCTATCCTGACCCTGTAGCTCTGGCTCATTCCTCAGACCAAACCAGAGCCAAAGCAAATATGTCAACGCTGAACTTTTGGAACGGAGAGAGGCCATTTTCTCCATAAATTCAAGCGAGCTACAAGAAAAACAGCAAAGTGGCCGCAGCTCTGAATTATCTGCACTCAAGTTTACTTTTACGAGGACGGGGAGTTTAAGTAATATAGAAAGTTGTCCGTTTGTTCTAGTTTGTAGTATCAGATAGAACAGTGTAATTTGTCTTCTAAATCATTACAGACATGGAAAGTAGAGCAGGACTTTAAAGGTGCATTGTGTAACCTTTTTGGTACGATATTACAATATGAAATATACTTAACATGCATTTATTCAATTATATGTGTTTTAATGGCCAGATAATCCCATGAAAACATTGAGCGGGGTCGCCTAACTTCAGATCTGACTTATAACTTGGCCGGGTGGCGTCATCTGCTTGTTTCCACGGCGATAGATATGTTTTATGGCGTACTGTGGAACATTCCAGACAAAGCAATGACGTCTCTAAGATGATAGTGGGTCCTCCAGTAGCTTGTCTCCATGGCAATGTTATAACTTTGCGAGGAATGTTCCACAGTATGAAACATCAATATCTCCATGGAAACAAGAAACTACCAGGCCAGGTTACAGGTCACATCTGTGGAGAGGGTGAGTTGTAGGAAGTATTATTTGTTACATAAAGGTGAGTTGTACACTTGTAGGGAGTATTATCTGTTGCATAAGAGTGAGCTGTTGTAAAGTTGTAGGGAGTATTATCTGTTATATAAGAGTGAGCTGTTGTAAAGTTGTAGGGAGTATTATCTGTTACATAATAGTGAGTTGTTGTACAGTTGTAGGGAGTATTATCTGTTACATAAGGGAAAATTGTTGTACAGTTGTAGGGAGTATTATCTGTTACATAAGAGTGAGCTGTAGTACAGTTGTAGGGAGTATTATCTGTCACATAAGGGTGAGTTGTACACTTGTAGGGAGTATTATCTCTTACATAAGGGTGAGTTGTACAGTTGTAGGGAGTATTATCTCTTACATAAGGGTGAGTTGTACAGTTGTAGGGAGTATTATCTGTTACATAAGGGTAAGTTGTACAGTTGTAGGGAGCATTATCTGTCACATAAGGGTGAGTTGTACACTTGTAGGGAGTATTATCTGCTACATAAGAGTGAGTTGTTGTACAGTTGTAGGGAGTATTATCTGTTACATAATAGTGAGTTGTACAGTTGTAGGGAGTATTATCTCTTACATAAGGGTGAGTTGTACAGTTGTAGGGAGTATTATCTGTTACATAATAGTGAGTTGTTGTACAGTTGTAGGGAGTATTATCTGTTACATAAGAGTGAGCTGTAGTACAGTTGTAGGGAGTATTATCTGTTACATAAGGGTAAGTTGTACACTTGTAGGGAGTATTATCTGTTACATAAGGGTAAGTTGTACACTTGTAGGGAGTATTATCTTTTACATAAGGGTGAGTTGTACAGTTGTAGGGAGTATTATCTGTTACATAAGGGTGAGTTGTACAGTTGTAGGGAGTATTATCTGTCCCTCTACAGTCAGGTGCAGTGGGTGAGCAGGAGTGTTTGTCCAGTGTCCTTCTGTCCTTCATTGTGACAAACGTCTCCAGCTCACAGATGATCACATGAGCAGCTTTATGGATCGTGACATTTTCTGTTTAAGTCAGATCACAACTTTGGATCTCAAATTTGTTCTAATGGACCGACCAGTCTCTGTGTCTGTGCCATGAGAGTGTCGCTGGATTAATTTAAAGCAAAATTAAAATATATCTTTCCATTTGGTTCAATTTAGCGCCATTAAAATGTCTTTATGAAACATCTGCTGGAGAACGTCCCATCTGTCGCCTTCTATTTCATAATCAGATCACATTATATTGCACACACAAGCCAGAAGGAACCACAAAGCTACACAATACTGCTCATCAAACATACAATGCTATAATCTGATCTGTGTTATTAAAAACAGACCTGGAGTTGGGTTGTGTTTCATTCTCACACGCTTAACACACAAACCCTGAAGATTTAAGGCCTATTCATACTTTATAAGAACATAAGAACATTGTTCTTGCACCCAGGGCTGGCAGAACAAAATGACGTCATTGTGTTCTACCAGCTCCTGTTCGGCAGTTCTTGTTTGTTGACTTGTTCTCGACATCTCAGCTGAGCTGAATTTTGGGCAGAGCGAGGGGGCAAGGCAGAGCCAGGAGGTGGGGCAGAGCCAGGAGGTGGGGCAGAGCGAGGGGGCAGAGCGAGGGGGCAGAGCGAGGGGGCAGAGTGAGGGGGCAGAGCGAGGGATGGGGCGGGGCAGTTCGGCAGTTCTCCTGAAGTATGACATTTGTTCTTGTTCTTATCACCTCAAGAACAAAAACAAAGTTCTTATGTTCTTATGAAGTAGGAATAAGCCTTAAGGATGAGTTCTTCTCTCAAACAGAAAACACTCTGTTCCACCTTGTGATGTCATGTGGTAATACAAGATGTGCTCCACTGTGTTTTTAAACTCCACACACCTTCACTCAGATAATTTCAGCCCTGGAATTGCCAAGCAAAAGTTAAAAGGTAGCTGTTAACTTGAAAACTACCACTTGACATATGACATCACGAGGTGGAACAGAGCATTTTGAGTTTTGGAGATGCAGACAGACTAATAATAAAGAGTTATCAAACATGTGTAAAATAAACAAAACACAACTCCAGGTCTGTAACAACATTATAACATGATTTTACGTAATACAGGATCTTTAATTAAAATCCAAAATAGTCAAATTGTTACACATTTGTCTTGTATTTATGTGCTGAAGAGGTTTTAGAGGTCATTCATGCATGTTAGAGTAATTTAGCAATCTCTCCCGGGTCCTATTCAAACCCTTCTTACGGTTAGCAGTAGTAGCAGCCTGTACAAAGCTCCGCCCACAAGCCTGCATCAACCATGCTCCCACACAACACTTCTCTATAAATACACAAAAACATGATACAAAACTGTACACTATAATGTGACAGACCTGATGCGATGTGTGGTAGTTTCATTATCGGGATGAGCGCTGATTGTGCTGTAATAGCGCTCTGAAGGGGGAGTGACTTAACGCAGGGAGCAAGGGGAGGGGGGACTTGTTTTTAGGCGAATTTAGCATTTTCAAAACAATAAAAGGGACCATGGTGATGTAAATATGTTATGTGTTGCAGTTAATACCCTGCAGAAATAAAAAAAAAAAACTTCTTTAACTCTTTTTCTCCTCTTTCGTCCATCTTTTGTTTCCAGGTCCTCCGATCATCTCGAGCGAGCCCGTGCAGTACGCCGTCCGAGGGGAGAGAGGAGAGATCAAGTGCTACATCGCCAGCACTCCCCCTCCAGATAAGATCGTGAGTTTCATAACAGTTTCAGGGTTTTTATGGCAATGATGTAAAAATGTTTCATCATGTTAAATTTGAACCGCTGAACCGATCGGTGGAGCTTTCACCCTTGTCCTAGTTTGGTCTTGTTGTTGTAGCCCTGGTTTAGTTCTGTTCTAGACCGGGTTTAGTCCTGGTTTGGTCCTGGTTTAGTACTGCAAATCATAACAACTACATATTTTTTCCTTCCACTACTACTACTACTACTACACCTACCTTTACCGTTTGATTATTACCTTTATTACTACGACCACTCCTGCCACTCCTGCCACTCCTGCCACTACTACTACTACTACTCCTGCCTACTCTACTACTCTACTACTCTACTACTACTACTCCTACTACTACTACTACTACTACTACTACTACTCCTGCCACTACTACTACTACTCCTACTACTACTACTACTACTACTACTACTAATGTATAGCATTAACACTATTGAATAGGGGTATTGTAGTAGCTGTAGTAGTAGCTGTAGTAGTAACAGAGGTAATAATAAAACAGTAAAGGTAGCTGTAGTAATATTCAGAGTAGAGGTAGTAGTAGTAATAGTAGTGGCAGTAGTGGTAGTGGTAGTAGTATATTTTAATCATTAACAGTTGTGTACTTTTCTCCACTTGAAGCAGCACATTTTGAAGTAGCAGTATTTTGGATAGTCAATTTATAACTATAACTGCTACTACTACTACTGCCAGTACTGCTAATTACTGCTATACTGCAAATACTACTACCACTGTGGCAATTGAATATTCTAAAAATAAGTATATAGCATTAGTAAGTTAAGTTCACTACAACTACTAATACTATTACTTTTACTTCCAGTTCTACCGCTAATATTATCTATATTACTACTACTATTACTACTAATACTACTACTACGTGTAGGATTACCACTAACAACTGAATAATAGGGGTATATCTATAGTAGTAGTAGTAGTAGTATCATTTATAGTGGTTGTAAAGTAGTACTGTTAATCACAGCAGCTGTGTACTTTTCTCCACTTGAAGCAGCACATTTTGAAGTAGCAGTATTTTGGAGAGTCCATTTTAAGCACTCCATCCCAAACCACTCCATCACTGTATTTTCATGTTCACATTTCCTGGCCCTAAGCACAGCGCCGGTGTTTTACTGCACTCTGAAGTCCTCTCTCCGAGGGGCTTTAAAAAACTGCTCTAGTTGCACTTCCTCAGAGCAGGTTCCACAGTGCGGCTTTAGCATTCACAGCACACGCACTTAACACTGATCATCCTGTGAGGACCTCAGCACACATCAGGAGAACACATCACATACAACTTATATACAACAGTAGTATACAGGTTTTTGTAGCACAGACATCAAAAGTTCCACAGTATGGCATTAAACTCTTCTATCTCCGTGGAGACAAGCACTTGGCACCACCAGGTAACAGGTAACAGGTGAAAGTGCAGTAAAAATGGTCCTGTTTTTAAAAAGTGAAGACAGAACTAGTTCATTTTAAACAGTTTGTTGTGGGCCAAAGTTATTCCTGTCACTGTAAAGCTAATACGCACTTCCTGATACTTGGACTATAAAAGGCTTTATAATTAGCTGCAGACAGTTCACAGTGGACTCATTTTGACTTCAAGAGCCACACAATAAAATGCATCTGTACTGGGACTAATTTTGAGACAAATTTGGCTAAACTACATGGGTACAGGCCTTTAAAAAAAGCACTTTATGTGCCCTTCCTTGGAGCAGGTCCCACAGTGTGGCTTTAACATTCTGAGCGCTAGTGTTGGGTGTAACGTGTTACAAAGTACCTAAGTAACGCTTTACAATAACGTAACAATTTTTTGGGGGTAAAAATGTTGTAAAAATGTTACTTTTCTGTGTACGTGGGATGGTCCCCGCCCTGGCGGCACGACTCAGTTGGGGAGGACAGTCTGTCCCAGTCAACAGTCACGTTGGGAGCAGGGGGGCCTGTGCCCGCCTGGGTGGAGAGGGCGTAGAGGGCGCAGTGGGCACCCACAGCCCCGGGAAGCAGCGAGGCCTTTCCTGGCCGAATCAGAGCTGGTCGTGGTGCACCAGAGGAAGCCAACAACACCCAGGGAGAGGTCCCTCGAGGGGATCCTCCTGCACCGACTGGATGTTCCTCGCCCGCCAAGTTGGATCCTCCTGACAGACTGTGTGGACCCATTTACCTCTTAATGGTTTCACGTCCTCTTGAAATCTCTCTTCAAAGTTCTTTTCGACTTTCCTTTATCGTACTTGTCGACTATCAGTCTCGTGCAGGTATTTACACTTAAATGGAGTTTACCACCAAAATGTTACCAAAGTAACGAGTAACGTAAAAAGTTACTTTCCACAGAGGATAATTAAGTAAAGTAAGGGATTACTTTTTAAAAAGTAATGAGTAATGAGCAAACACTTCCCCAACACTGCTGAGCACACACACTTAACACTGATAATCTCTTATCAGGAGATCACACACAACTTAAATACAACTCATGCTAATGGGACTGAATAATAGGCTTTAGTAATACAGATATAAAGGTTCCACAGTATGGCATTAAACTCCTCTATCTCCATGGAGACAAGCAGTCACAACCTCCACACAATAGGTTTGATTTGTGGAGAGGTGAACCTGCAGTAAAAATTTTTACAGTCTTAAAAAGTAACAGCACATAACATAGACATAAAAAGTTCATTTTAAATACATTTTAAAATAAAGTTCTTCTTCACTTACCTCTACTCACTATGATGAGTTTAAAAGAGCTTTTCCTCAAAAATTATGTCTATATTTTTTATTATTTATTTATTTAGTAAAATCTGCACTTTTTGGTTGGGGGTCTGTCACCTGCTTGTTTCTATGGAGATGTCACTGCTGTGCCTGAAATGTTCCACAGTGTGACATTAAACAGCTCTACCTGACATTTATTCAATTACAGGCAGTTTGATAGCTCAAAAATACCTTGAAAAACAAACATCCTGATTGTGAGCGAGGTTGCCTCTCCACAGATCTGACCTGTAACTTGGTCTGGTTTGGTCTCCATGAAGATACAAAGGTTTAATACTATAATGTGAAACATTCCAAAAAAGCAATTACATGTCCATGGAGAAAACATTCCAACAGAAAAGTTACACAATGCACTTTTAAATATCTTAAAGGGACAGTCCGGAATTTTGGACATAGGATCTCATTTCCTAGTGAGCCAGAGTGTTGGAGACGTGTGGAGACGCTAAATATTCCATCCAGTCCTTGTATTTGCAGAGGTCGCTGGTGCTAGGCTAGTGCATGTCAATGGCCATAGTTAGCCTGCCACAAAAAACAGTCTTACCCACTCCACAAAACACCCGAAACAAATCTATTATTACACCAGACTGTCCATGTAAATATCTGTGTTGATAGAATAATGTTTGAAATAAAACTAACCTTGAAGTTGAAGGATTTATGTCTGAGCAGCAGCAGTGAGTTGTATTTCCTGATAGAAAACTCGGCAGTGGCGGACTGATATCACCTAACACCTACCTTATCTGCAAAGTAAAATTCCGCTGCTGCTTAGAAAATAGTCCCTCAACATGTGACTTCATGCGATGTAAGGTTAGTTTTATTTCACACATTATTCTATCCACACAGACATTTACATCAATAGTCTGGCATAATAATTGGGGATGTAACAATAACTGAAATATTGTGATATCGTATCGTCAAAGTTCTCACATTAATATAGACCATGATCCTTTGCTCCATTTCTGTGCAGAGTACATGAAGAAATAACAGTTCTAAGCACTTTTACGTCTTAGTTCTTTGGATTAAGTCTTGTAAAGGCATTTTAAGAGGGAAAAATAGCATATTAACAGTTTTAGCTGTTTAGCCTCCACAAAATATCGCAATAATTATCGTACTGTGAGGTTCATACCATGATGTTACATTTGTTACATTCCTAACAATAACAGATTTGTTTCGGGTGTTTTGTGGAGTGGGTAAGACTGTTTTAGTGACAGGCTAACTATGGCCATTGACATGCACTAGCCTCTTTAGCGACCTCTGTAAATACAAGGACTGGATGGAATATTTACAGAAGAGTCCAACACTCACTAGGAAATGAAGTCCTATGTCCAAAATTCCGAAGTGTCCCTTTAAATGACCTTAACTGTGTTTTAGTCAAATAAGTAGTTCAGTAGCTCTCTGCACTTTAAACTAACTATATTCTTCTTGTGTATAATTTTTGTCTCCTACACCCGTCTCTACATGTCCAGACACCATACCAGGTGAGCACGTTAGACATAAGGCCTATGTATATTTGATAGTCTCTGGTTCATTTTTAATAGGCTCCATTTGAGCTCAGCAGATCTGCCGTGAGCAGCTCTGGCGTTACTGCAGGTGTAATCTTAATGCCCCCGGCCTCTGGTGGGCTGTTCCTGTGGTGAGCAGTGCATTAAGTCCATACTAAACTGCAAAATTTGAATGAAATCAGCAAGATGGAGTCCCAAAGGTGAACTTAGAAGAACTTACAGAGGAGACGTGATGTCATGGTGGTTAATGGGTGATGTTAGTTTACTCAGATATGCCGACATAAGCACTTAAAGGCGCTGGATCTGATTTTTTACTGTCTGAAAAACAGACCTGGAGTTATGTTTCATTTCATCCACACATGTTCAACACACACACACTTCTTATTTAGACTTTAGTTTTTCACTCTTCCACCGTGTGATGTCATGTGGTGATACAGGAAGTGCTCCACTGTGTTTTTAAACGCCATACGCCTTCACTAGAATCATTTGGATCATTTCAGTCCTGGAATTTCCAAACTCTCCTGATATGAACTAAAGGTAAAAACATGTAAACCTGTCATATGCCAAGAACCCCATGTTTTTCTGAACACGGTTAAGTTAAATTAAAGGTGCACTATGAAACTTTACTGATGAGGTAGGTCCGCCCCCCGCTTGTCTCCATGGAGATGTGGTTGCTGTGCCTGAAATGTTGTTCAGAATTGCATTAAATATGTAAATCTTGCTAATAAAATACATGCAGTATATATACACACAAAAATACATATGCATTCTTACTGAGAGCGGGGTCGCCTCTCCACAGATCTGACCTCAAAATAGCACTTATAAAGCTGAAACCCTTACGTTTGAAGACATACTATGGAAAATTCCAAGCAATGCAATAATATCTTTATGGAGACAAGCAGTTGGCAGAAGCATCTCTAAAAAGTTATGCAGTATAACTTTAAAAAGAAATACCAATGCTATAGTGGTCAAATAGTATCTTTAATAAAGCCTAAAGAACGCAGTTTAAATCCAGTGTTTAACTCCTGTGCAGTAGTGGAAGGTAGCCAAGTACAAAAGTAAGTACTAGGGGTGTAACGGTACGCAAAAATCACCGTTCGGTATGTACCTTGGTTTTAAGGTCACAGTTCGGTTCATTTTTGGTACAGTATTGGAACAAAATGGAAAACTATTTGCTTGTTGTTTATTTATGTGTTCATTAAACTAACAATTTGTTTTAACATTATATAAACCTGAAAATAAAATAATGCAAAGTGCTGCTTGGTACGTAAAATATTCTCAAATGAGCAACAAATGTATGAAACATAAAAAACATTATTCCATATAAACAGTAAACAAAACTTTTCAAAAAGTAATGTGCAGCACCAACAGTTCCAGCATGAATTTTTACTCAATCTTAATATTTTTGGCCAGAAAAAAACAACTTGTCCATATTGTCTGCTGCAGTTTCACGTAGTTGTCAAGGCGGTCGCCCTAACTATAAAGCGCTGCAGGAAACACAGTCACCCCAATCACGGGCAAGTTCCCTCATGAATATTAAAGAGCCGAGTCTCCGTGTAGCTGCACATGTAGAGGTGCAATGTAAACACACACAAATTGCGCAAACTAACTCGTGCACAACCCTGCACCGAACTGAACGTCCTGTATCGAAATGGTTCAGCACTAATACATGCACCAATACACTCCTAAAAAGTACAATACTTAAGTACACATTTTAGGTATCTTTACTTTACATAAGAAGATTTTGCAGTGGATAATTTTGACTTTTACTTCACTACATTTAAGAGCAGTTATGTGTACTTTCTACTCCAATACATTTTACATCTGGACCGAAAAGTAAAAAGTACTTTTCTTTATGGTTTGAGACCTGCTGAAATAACTGATACTTTATTTTTTAGTACTTTTGAGTTTCTGTCGCAACTTTAAGCAACACAAAAACACACACAAAAAAAAAACTGTTAGAAAAAAAAGAAGAAATCTATTGAATCACTTAAAATTAGGACATTCTTTATCAAAACCACTACATTTCATCATTTAATTATTCAAACAAATCTCTGCAAAATACTCAAAGTAAAATTTTAAACATGAACTATAATACTTTTAATTAATTATTTTTTTCATGTGATACTTTTACCTTTACTTGAGTATGTCTTTGCTGCTGTATCTGTACTTTTACTCAAGTAGATTTTTTCATGTCATACTTTTACTTTTACTTGAGTATTTCTTTGCTCCTGTATCTGTACTTTTACTTAATTATTTTTTTCATGTCATACTTTTACTTCAGTATTTCTTTGCTCCTGTATCTGTACTTTTACTGAAGTAGATTTTTTCATGTCATACTTTTACTTTTATTTGAGTATTTCTTTGCTCATATATCTGTACTTTACTTAATTTATTTTTTCATGTGATACTTTTACTGGAGTATTTCTTTGCTCCTGTATCTGTACTTTTACTTAAGTAGATTTTTTCATGTGATACTTTTACTTTGCTCCTGTATCTGTACTTTTACTTAAAGGTTGTATGGAGGATTTTTTAAAATATTTTTTCAAATTGTCAATGAAAGTTCAAAATAGAATTATAAAGAAGAAGCAGCCTTGTAATTATGATGACCAAAAAAAAGAATGAAAATCCATCAACTGGACGTAGTGAGGGCAGATAAACATCAGCCAATAGATAAAAAGGCTACCTCTTTATCTATTGGCTGTTAGGTTGTCAATCAAATTCCCTACGTTTCTAGCGTCGCTGACTTGCCGACGCGCTGGGATTGTGTGATTTATGTTCACGGTTCATGTTTAGCGGTTCTTGGCGTCTTTTTTGAACTGTAGCTCTCAGTTTGCACAAATTTTGTTTTAATGGCAGAGAAGAATTCACGACCGGTTCACCGCAAAAGAAAGTCAGTTTTTGATGTTGCTGAAAGAAGAAGAGAAGGGGAAAAGGTGCGAAGCGCAACATTTAAAAAAGGACAAACAGTCGCTGCATTTCTCTTTCCTTGGAAAATCTTCTATACAACCTTTAAGTAGATTTTTTCATGTGATACTTTTACTTTGCTCCTGTATCTGTACTTTTACTTAAGTAGATTTTTTCATGTGATACTTTTACTTTGCTCCTGTATCTGTACTTTTACTTAAGTAGATTTTTTCATGTGATACTTTTACTTTGCTCCTGTATCTGTACTTTTACTTAAGTTGATTTTTTCCATGTGATACATTTACTTTGCTCCTGTATCTGTACTTTTACTCAAGTTGATTTTTTCATGTGATACATTTACTTTGCTCCTGTATCTGTACTTTTACTTCAGGAACATACTTCATCCACTGCTGCTGCTGTGTTTCAGGTGTGGGCGTGGAAGGAGAACGTGTGGGAGAAGGAGAAGGGGACCCTGATGGAGCGTTACACTGTGGAGCAGAGCAAACCTCCGACACAAGGGGGCGCCGTCCTGTCCACGCTCACCATTAACAACGTGATGGAGTCGGACTTCCACTCCCCGTACAACTGCACCGCCTGGAACGCCTTTGGCCCCGGGACCATGATCATCACTCTGGAGGAGAGGGGTATGGACTCTGGTGATTTTATGAACTGAAAAAAGCTCTATTACGCAATTTTCTGTCTGCACATTTATTTATTTACACCAACTGCCAACTTTGACTCTGAAAATGTGAAAAACGAGTACATTTTGAGCACTTATTTCTCCCTTATGTACAGCTTTTAGAGAACAGTGCAGAGTCTGTTTTGCTGTCACTGTAAAGCTGTCAACAACTAGCATGCTAACAGTGCACTTTCTGATTCTCGGACAATAAAAGGCTTTAAAATTAAAATGCCAATTGTACAGTATAGTATTATTTTGCTTAAATATAATAAACTACTCATATCTGTCTCTTAACTTGTTGTCTCTCTCTCTTTCTCTCTCCTCTTATTCCTGTCTTTTCTTCACTTGCCTTTCTTGGAACTCCCCTCTTCTCTCTTCCCTTTCTGTATCTCCCCTTCTCTCTTTCCCCCCTCTCCTCCTCTCTCTTTCTCTCTCCATCTCCTCCCTCTCTCCCTGTTCTCTCTCCTCCTCTCTCTCCTGTCTCTCCCCGTCTCTCTTTCTCTCTCCATCTCCCCCCTCTCTCTGCGTTCTCTCTCCTCCTCTCTGTTTTTCTCTCCATCTCCCATTTCTCTCCCTTTCTCTCTCCTCTTTCTCGATCTCTCCCTCTCTTTCTATCCCCCCTCTACCCGTTCTCTTCTCCTCCTCTCTCTTTCTCTTTCTATCTCTGCATTTTATTATATTTCTTTATATCCTCCCTCTCTCCCTGTTCTCTCTCCTCTTTCTCTCTCCATCGCTCTTCTGACTTCATTTCTCTCTCCCCGTTCTCTCTCCTCTCTCCTCTCTCTTTCCCACCTCTCCTCATCTCTCTTTCTCTCTCCATATCCCCCCTCTCTCCGCATCATCTCTCCTCCTCCTCTCTCCTTCTCTGTTTTTCTCTCCCTTTCTCTCTCCTCTTTCTCAATCTCCCCCTCTTTTTCTATCTCCCCTCTGTCTCCCATTTCTCTATCCCCCCCACCCGTTCTCTCTCTTCCGTGCTCTCTCTCTCTCCCCTCTCTCCTCCTCTCTCTTTCTCTCCCCATCTCCCCTTCCTTTATATCCTCCCTCTCTCACTGTTCTCTCTTCTCTCTCTCTTTCTCTCTCCATCTCTACTCTGTCTCCCTTTCTCTATCTCCTCCTCCTCTCTCTCTCTCTTCTCCTCTCTCTCCCCCTCTCTCTCTCATCCTCTCTTTTTCTCCTCTCTTTCTCTCCCCCTCTCTCCTCCTGTCTCTTTCTCTCATTATCTCCCTTCTGTCTCCCTTCCTCTCTCCCCTTTCTCTATCTCCCCCCTTTCTCTGTTCTCTCTCCTCCTCCCTCTTTCTCTCTCTCTCCATCCTCAGAGACCATACCTGTGGGGATTATCGCCGGGGGAACGGTTGGCTCCTCCCTCCTTCTCATCCTGCTGCTGTTGGCTCTCGGATACTTCCTGTACCGTCAGAAGAAAGGCAGTGAGTGCAGCCTCCACCCATCTCCACCCATCTCCACCTGTCTCCACCCATCTCCACCCACGTCCACTCTCCACCCGTCTCCGTGCAACTCATCATGCTTTAGGCCTAACCCTAACCCTAGTCCTAGTTGAGTCCTGGTTTAGACCTAGTTCAGACTTGTCTTGTCTTTATTGTTTTAGTCCTGGTTCAGTTCTGATTTAGTCTCTAGGTGTAGACCTGGTTCACTCCTATTTTAGACGTGGTTTGGATCTGGTGTAGACCTGGATCAGTCTTAGTTTAGACCTGGTTTAGCCCTATTTTAGTCCTGGATTCGACCTGGTTTGGCCATGTTTTAGATCTGGTTTAGACCTGGTTCATTCCTGGTTTAGACCTAGTTTAGACCTGGTTTAGTCCTGGATTGGACCTTGTTTAGACCTGGTTTAGTCCTGGATTGGACCTTGTTTAGTCCTATTTCAGTCCTGGTATAGACCTAGTTCAGTCCTGGTTTAGTCTTGGTTCTAGACTTGTTTTAGTCTTGGTTTAGACTTGTTTTAGTCTTGGTTTAGACTTGTTTTAGTCTTGGTTTAGACTTGTTTTAGTCTTGGTTTAGACTTGTTTTAGTCTTGGTTTAGACTTGTTTTAGTCTTGGTTTAGACTTGTTTTAGACCTGGTTTAGACTTGTTTTAGTCCTGGTTTAGACTTGTTTAGTTTTAGTCCTGGTTTAGACTTGTTTTAGTCCTGGTTTAGACTTGTTTTAGTCCTGGTTTAGACTTGTTTTAGTCCTGGTTTAGACTTGTTTTAGTCCTGGTTTAGACTTGTTTTAGTCCTGGTTTAGACTAGTTTTAATCCTGGTTTAGACTAGTTTTAATCCTGGTTTAGACTAGTTTTAATCCTGGTTTAGACTTGTTTTAATCCTGGTTTAGACTAGTTTTAGTCCTGGTTTGGTCTTTGTTCTGTCCTTGTTTTTTTCCATTAGTCCATTTCAGGGACGTTGTAGTGATTGTCCTCCTGCTCCTCTGTGTGCGTGTGTGACTGTGTGTGTTTGTGTGTTTATAAGTGTGTGTGTGTCAGTCCACATTCCTCCATGTGTCTGTGTTAAAGCCTCTATAGACATGGTCCATACAGCCGCCGCATTCAGATGAGCCTAGTACAAATGAATAAGAGCTGTTTTAAAATGAAAAGGCCTCCTCCTCCTCCTCCTCCCACTCACTGTCTCCTTTCTCTCCGCTCACATCAAATACAAACGTCATTTCTTTAATAAATGGATTTTGTATGCTGATGCCAAACAGAGCAGCTGAGGTGGAAAATAGAGCGTTTAAAACAGGCTTTCGAGGCTCAGAGCGTGGAATTGGAATGTTCATTTGAAATGTTAAAAGAAGCCATGTTGTGCTTTTGTCTGTTATATATAAATATTATGTATGACACACATGGATCGTTATTGTGCATTTGATTCATTCTAAAATGCTTTTTAATGCAATAATGATCTAAAAGTACAACTAGAAGTACACTTATTTTACATATAACAAGTACTGCGGCCCAAATTGTACTGAAGTAAAAAGAAAAATACTATTCAAAGTGTACATTTTTATGTAATTTTGTTTTTTTTTATGTCACTCTTTTATGCAAAACTTAATTCATGAATCAGTTAAAGCTGAATTAAAGCTACAGTGTGTAACTTTCTGGAGGTGGCACATCTGCAGGACTCCATGGAAAAGGAAAGTTAAAACCATATTTCGGAACATTCTCCACAGAGATAGACAGACATGTTTTATGCCATACTGTGGAATATTCAGGTCAGGTTGGCGCCACTTAGTGCCTCCGCTCAATTTCATTTCATTTCATTTCTCTCCAGCGACTAGGTCAGGAATCGGAATACACTAGACCAGGGGTGTCGAACTCATTCTGGTCCAGGGGCCGTATCCAACCTACTTTGATCCCAAAAGGGCCGGATCAGAAAACTCATGGCATATAAACCCAAAAATAACAATAAGTTCAAATATTTGTGCAGCGAAATGCAAATCTATTACAGAAATCTATTTTAATTGATGAACTCTTTCTTTTACAAAATATTATAATACACAATAGGGATGGGCATGATTAGTCGATTAATCGATAATTGATCATTAAGAATTTCATCGATTACGTATATTTTTATCGACAAAAAAATGTAGGTTGCTGTGTGTAGAGTGACCAAACAGGGGTCTGTACATGTGTCTCTCTGCATCAGAAGGAGCGAGACACAAACAGTCGGTCAGTCTGCAACGTACCGAAGTGCATATGCGTATTTAACGATGACTTGTACAAGAAATTCCACACTTTCCCGGTCGGGACAAGTGTGAGTCCATGTGCACAGTGAACAAAGCAGCACATATGTTTCGGTGTCCAGTTGGAAAAAGTTTTACCAGGTGAGAGTCACGCAATGTCGATGACGAGGTTCCCACCTCCCTCCCCCCGTACGGTGTCCTGGTTTTGACAAACACAAATCTGGTCACACTAACCTGTATTCACCTGAGTCATGTCTTTTAATCCGACAGAAATTGACCGCATCAACGCACAAGAGCTGTAGTTTTATCTTCGCTGAGTTTATGCAAATTAGCGATGCGGTTTTAAGTTTTGTTTCTGTGAGAGTTGCGCAAAACTGAATTAAACACATTATAATGTCAAACGGGCTGATGTGGCTCTAGAGTGGTTACGGTTTATTTGTCGTAAAGTTGAATTTATTTATGCAGATTAGGAGTGCAGCTAGTAATAATAATGATGATAATTTTAATATAAAAACGTTAATGATTAATCGATAATCGATCGTTAATTCTCTCGACGATCGATTAAGAAAATTTCATCGAATGCCCATCCCTAATACACAATGTTTTAACATGAACTTGTTTGCAAATAGGAATAAGTCAATTTTTCTTGTAAAATCCTGCACTTGGCTCCACTTTTCTCATTTTTTACATTTTGTTGATGAGGGTGTCACAGTCAACAGTCAAAACGATCATCCTTTAAGAGCGTTTGGAAAGAGACAAGTCTTCATTTGTGCTGCTCTGGTGGGAGGGGCCACGTACAGAGGCGCTGGAAACGGTGCTATGATAAATTCCGCAGAAAATTACCAATATTTTAATAGAAAATATAATTAAAATATTTTAGTAGAAAATCAGCCGAGGGCCAGTTCTTCAAGGGCCAGATCCAGCCCCCAGGCCGTATGTTTGACACCCCTGCACTAGACAGTTCGCAAAAACCCCGGAAGTGTGAGTTTGGGCACCAGCCAATCAGCGAAGAGCCGTATATTCTGTGTTGGCAACGATTCCCGAGATCGAGGATTTAAAGCCGGAATAAAGAGAATATTTGGTGAATTTTATCAAGGGAAAAGACGTTATTGTCCTTCTTCCTACGGGATTTGGGAAAAGCTTAATATATCATTTAGCTCTGTTAGCGGTGCATTACATACGTCACGACCAAATAGCAGCGACTGGTTAAATAAAAAAAAAGTACAAGCAAACGAATCCTAATGCTGCGAGGTGAGATGGTTTCCACAAAGTAAAACCGGTTGATGAATCAGGCTACAATATTATAGCCAAAGGAACAACATTTCAAAAGTCAGGTTTGTGTTTGTTTATTTGAGGCTATTTTGTTTTCTAAAAAATTACATACTGTGGCTTTAAATTGACTGGAACTTGTGTTGTACTCAGTAATTCATATTTCAAATGTAACTAATTAAATGGCTAAAACTCAATTACAAGTATATACCCAAAGGTGAGAGGTCGATTCCCGCTCAGACCAAGTGTCATTGTGCTGTCATTGTGCTCTTAAGCAAGACACTTCACCCACATTGCCTAGTACGCTGCAAATTTTTCTGATCTGGCCAACATTTTAAAACTTACATTAGGTGGTTTTAATCTTGTTTTCAGATTTATTATCTACTTACTAGTTCTGAATTGGTTGTATAATCTTAAAACTTCTTCCATGACTCAGCTATTCAGAAAATCTTAAATTTAGGCAATAAATGTTGAAAAGAAGCTACAGTCCATTTAGCAGTACTTACATCTAAAATTTGGCATATAAGAACTTATTATCAGGCCATGAACATTTATCATGAACTGGTTTTAAGTATGTTTACCTCAAACTTAGCATCTATAAATTTATTTCCAGCCAATGAGCACTTACCAGACTGTTTCATTCTAGTCTACAGGTCGTTTATTTTAAGAGAACTTATCAAGTAAAATGATCTTGCTGCATGAACAGATCTTTTCACTACTTTTAAGTCATTTTCTGATAAATTTAAGTGTTTATATCTTAAATTTTGGCCAAGTTTTTTTTGCAGTGTATGAATGTGGTGTGAGCATACATGCATCCTGAATTTTGGACTTCCGGTCATCGTGCAATCCATACTGGGAAGGCTCCTCTGAAAAAGTGAGCATCAAACCGCCATGTTTGATTTCCCAGTGGGATGTGTCTATTGACAAAGCCGATCTTTTCAAGTCTTTTGAACCATATCACTTTTGTTTCTGGTTCTGATATTGTCATATTTTAGTTATGGGATTCGGACATCGTTAATTGTGTGGTTGTTGGATCCTAACACCGGAAAACGGCTTGAGAAACAAGCTTCAGAAGTTTGTGAACTCCATAAATGCAAAAGGGAATCAGATCTGTGTGACTACAAACCTCCGTTCAAACTGTTTCTCTTCCCAACAGAATTGAAAAATAGTGAAAGGTGAAGGCGATGGACAGTATTGATCCACAGGAAGAACCAAAAAGGAAACCTTTCACTGTCTAAATCGTCCCGAGTTTGCAGCCAACATTTTGTATGTGGAGCGCCAACAAAGCAAAATCTCGATCCTTCGCTCCACCTTGGTTACGAATTTAAAAAGTCAACACCAAAGCGAAAGGCACCAGCTGTTCACCAAGAAACACCTTCCACTGCAAAGAGACCAAGACGTGATGTTGCTGTAAACCCACAAAAACGAGAAAGTGCAGCTCAGCCTGTTTGTCTTCTGCACCTCTCACTTAACAAACGGGATCCCATTTTGTTGTCGCTCCACATACAAAATGTTCTCTGCAAACTCGGGATGATTTAGGCAGTCAAAGGTTTCCTTTTTGGTCCTTCCTGTGGATCAGTCCTGCCCATCGTCTTCGCCTTTCACTATTTTTCAATTCCTTTGGGAAGAGAAACAGTTTGAACGGAGGTTTGCAGTCACACACATCTGATTCCCCTTTTGGAGTTATGGAGTTCACAAATTTCCGAAGCTTATTTTCCGCCGTTAGGATAAAATAGTCATATTTTAGTTAGAACTAAAATATGACAATATCAGAACCAGAAACAAAACTGATATGGTTCAAAAGACTTGAAAAGATCGACTTCAATAGACACATCCCATTGGGAAAACAAACATGGCGGTTTGACGCTCACTTTTTCGGAGGATCCTTCCCAGTATGCATCGCGCGATGACCGGAAGTCCGATATTCAGGATGCATGTATTGGCCGATGGCACAGATTGGCAGCCTCGCTTCTATCAGTCTGTCCCAGGGCAGCTGTGGCTACAATATTTACTTATCACCACCGAGTGAGTAGTGAATGAAGGATGCCACTTTGGTTCTACTCCTGCTTCTTTTCTCTTCGTGTACATCACTGGAGGCTGTAGCAGGTCCAGTGGATTGAATAATGCGCACTATAGAAGCCGTATGTTCCTGGATGTTTTATTTTCCTCTTTTCAAACAGCCCACGTCGAGTCAATCAGCATTTACGAATCGCACGCAAGCTCCGCTCTTCTTTGGGAGACAGATAATGCGTTCGGAGAGACAAAGGCGGTGACTGGCAGCGCTCCCGGGGGATGGGAGGGGGAGCGCAGGAGATCTTCTGCTCCGAGGCCGATAACGCCGTCAAAGAACGAGAGAGAGGGAGAGAGAGAGAGAGAGAGAGAGAGAGAGAGAGAGGAGAGAG